AACCGTAAGTTAGGCAAACTGTCCGTTAGGCAATGTGTCTTTGGGCAAGCTGTCGTTAGACTAAATGTCTTTAGACAGATTGACTGGTCACACACGAAAACATTGCGAAACGGAGATTTTGACTCTTCGCAATTTAACAAATCTGATATCATCACTTACCAACAAAATTTGAACTGGACGATGAGCTGCTTGAATTGACAGTTTTGGTGGAATGCATTGAGACTAATGAACTCGTCATGTCACTTCCGGTTGAGGTGAACATACCTTAAAAACTATCAAGCACTTATTTATGTATGTGCAATTATCTTATGCAATCATATTCAGATATATTCAGCTGATTTGCTTCACTCGAAATATTAACCGCATATGCATATGACTTTCTTAAAACAATTCTAAGTATGCGTTGTCTTCATGTTAAACACAATGAATAGAGTATCATCTGAATGAAAAAAAAGTTAGATGTGGAAAAACTCAAACGATTATTCAGGAATTTGTTGTATTCACAAAAGTCAAGTGATCAGCTTATTTCGGATCAAACAAATTCTACAGTTCAGAGCCCACACCTGAAGTGTGTCTGTAGAAATAGCAAAAACGCACACCTGAAGTTGTAGCCGAAGTACCTGAAGTACGAGAAGTGGCGCCCGAAACACCGGTTGTCGGTGTCGAGGTTGGCGTAGGTGAAGCTAACGTGATCCGCGTGCCGCTAGTATCCGAATTCGGTGAGATCGTCGAGGGATCACCCCCCGTCTTTTGAACACCTTGCAACAGACCACTCACCAAAGATTTGGCCGTCGAAAATGCTCCCATTGATATGGCACTTGCTGACGACGGTTGTTGAGTACTCATTGTGGACTCGGCTTCGGTTTCACTCGATACTTTTGAGTCCGAAAAGTTCAAAACTTTTAGAATCATTTTCTTATCCTAAAGCATTTGAGTTCATTTCGCTAAAAAATTTAATCTGCATTGAAAATTCTCAAAGGAATAAATATTCCAAATTCTGCTCATATAAGCGAAATAGAGTAAGATGTTAAATTAAAGGTTTTTATCTAAAAAGAGAACGGCTGAAAGGCTATATTAGAGGTTTGTATCATATTAATGATTGAACAAATNAAAGGTTTTTATCTAAAAAGAGAACGGCTGAAAGGCTATATTAGAGGTTTGTATCATATTAATGATTGAACAAACTTTTTGCGTCTTGTCATCTTTCTGCTTTGTAATGTTTTTGGCCAATATTTCCTCGAACTTCTGCAACTCTTCCATCGATGAGAGTCTCTGCGTCGTATCCTCATCTTGCTGTTCGTTTTTCGGTTCTTCCTCATTTTTCTGCTCTTCCATTTTGGGGGCATTCTCGCGCTTGGAGGCTCTCAAATTCAACGCCTTATTCAGTTGTTTTATCGCTTCCCTCAACTTCCGTGCATGTTCTTCGTCTTTTCTACTTTGTTTTGTTTTTTGACCTTTCAACTTGGCCATTCGACTGGACAGACGATCTTCCGAACGAGATCTTCTGGACATGGCCGTTCGTAACTCTTCAGAATCTGGCTGCTGCTGCTGCTGCACTTCTCGAGAGCGATCGCGAGAGCTAGCATCTAGTTCGAGTTTCGTCACCACTGGTTTTTTACCGGCCGATCTGGCTCCTGCCGATCTCGCTTCTTCATCTTTATCATCAGACCTTATCACTAGCACATTATCCATCGCTCCAGATTCTTCCCTCAACATGTCACGATTCCGTCGATTTTTCCTATGACGCCGCGAACCAGACGTTTTACCTGAAGCATGATCACTTTTTCTGCTTATTGTTAGCGATTTTACTGAATCAACAGTCAATTTACATGATTGATCATTTCAATTACGTAAATTACGAAAATTCGATACCTCTGCAATGTTTGCAGCTTCTGATCTTACTTCTGCTCTTTTTGCCTTTGCGTAGGT